TTTTCTGGATGTGACTAAATTAAATATACTGTGGTTCCTTAATTCATAGTGAAGGAAAGAACAGAAATGAACAATCAAGATTTTCACATCAAATGAAGCTACATACCATATTAAAGAGTGTAAACTTTATAGTTAAGAGACCCACGTTTGAACCTGAACCCTATTTGTTCATATTATTACATTACACAAAGTCATTCTATGACTGAGAATGTCATGTAAATTATCATATTCTCAGGGTCCTTATTGATGAAACAATATAGGTAAAGGTGATTGATAAATTAAGTTTTATGCAAATTATATTTATCAAAGGCTGAGCAAATAAATACAAATAATCTTAAATTATTGTTAAATATTTTTAAAGTCCACATGGTTACATACATTTTGAGATTTTCTAAATAGTTCACAGGAAGCATGAGGCTGGCAAAAAAGGGTATATAATTACTTAGACCACTGTTTCTAAAACTTGGCACTATTGCCACTTTTTATCAGATTATTCTTTGGTGTGTGGCAGGACAGGGGGTGGTATCCTGTACCTTATAAGATGTTTAGCAGACCAGATACCCACTAGCTTCCAGTAACACCATGCTTTCTAAGTCTACAGACATTGCAAAATGTCTTATGCAGGGCAGTGTTACCCTCTGTTAAGGACCACTGATCTAAACAGTTAGCTGAAGATTATTTGTCCCTGAATAGACTTGACTCACAGGTGGTTAAAATAAATTGAAATATTTTTCAGCACATAAATCAGAGATGCAGACATTCTTTTTTTATATAAGCAGACGGTATCATTCCATGTGCCTAATTTCCTTTTTGGATTATATCTCATGTTGCAGCAAAAGGCACAAACAGCATTCTTTTGATTGTATCAGAATGTAATAACTTTTATCACCAAATCAGTGAACTCTTTAGAGAGAGCAGGTCTGAAATGATTTGATGTAGCTTCTTTTATTTTTTTTCTTACTAAAATACTACAGTGATAGTTTAGAGAAAATATTTAAGATTATCTGTGTGATGTACTCTATCTCCTAGTTTCTATAGTATCATTCAGGCCTAAAAGCAAACTAATTTAATAGTTCAAGCCCTGTAATCTCTCACAGAAGAATAAAGTATTATGCTCAAATGAAAAACCAAAGATTTTTATTATGACAACATATTTCCTGCTGTCTATAATTTTTTCACAGTTTTTTTGTTGTAGAATTTACCTAGAACAAAAGACTTTTCCTTTGGAGATAGTAATACTGATGCCTTCTGAAACACCTGTTATATTTATATACTCAACTATGTGGGCACACTCATCTATGTATTAATTAAAATACCATCTCTAACTAGATAGTCCCCAATTCACTTTTCTATATTTGATTTCTCCCATAAACTCCAGATTCATACGACAAACTGCCTTTTATCACTTGTGCTTGAATACTAATAGACATCTCACAATTAACAAGTCTAGAACATAACTTCTGATCTCCCCCCAACAACCTATACCTCTGGAAGTCTTCCCTATCCCAGAAAATGGCAATTTCATCCTTCCAGTTACTCAAGACAAAAATCTTGGAGTTCTCTTTGACTTCCTTTTTTCACTTATGCTTTATTTCCAATCCACCCACAAATCCTTTCCTCTCAATCTTTAAAATATATGCAGAATCTGTCTACTTCACACCACCCAACTGCTAATATGTTGGTCCATTCCAATCTATATCATGTCTCCCTTGAATTATTTCCAATCTCCTTGGTGATTTCACTGAGCTAGGTTCCATTAAGAATGCAAAGAGAGAGACAAGAGAGAAGGAAAGAAAGGAAGAAAAGGAGAGGGAAGAAGAGAGGGAAAAAAGAAAGGACAGGAAAGGAAGAATGAAAAAAAGGAGGAGAAAGGAAGGGATGAATGACAAGAAGGAATTGGATGCCCTCTCTCTAAAAGAGTTTGGTCATAGAGACTTATGATGGGGATACTCCATTACTATGTCTTGTTTCAGAAAACTGTCCAGATTTCTTCTTTTTAAAATGGTGTATCATCAGAAATCAGAATAACTTGCTAATCAGAAATCTGAATAATTTTTCATGGATCTGGATTATAATGAAAAGACAAAGTTTTCACTAGGCACTTACCTGATCTCTTCTTAAACCTACTAATGTAATTTTTTAATTATACTAATAAAATTTTTTAATTTTTTAATTAGGATCCCTTCTTAAAACTACTAATACAATTTTTTAATTAGGGCGGACAGACTTCAAAGCCCAGGACCTTGTGGTAAGCATCAGAAGCCAACCTCCTTAATGAAAGAAGCAGCTTATTAAAATACAGAAAATATTCAAAAGCATGACCCCTGAAATTCTCCAGTGACTAATCAGCTCTTCACTCTCAAGGAGCTTACAATTTAATAGGAAAAGTAGACATACTAAGAAGTTGCAAAGATTTAAAATATTCTAAGTTTGGAAATTTATAATTGTAAAATCTACATCTTTGTTGATGGAATGGGTAAAAACAGAGGGGATTAATTCAATCCATGGTGCAATAGAAAATTGTTAATAGGAGTCAAAAAAATGTAGGAAAAAGGCAGAGAAGAGAGAGAGAGAGAGAGAGAGAGAGAGAGAGAGAGAGAGAGAAGCACATGAGACACAGAGGTGGCTCATTCCAGGAATTCCACCTGGAGACCAAACACAGTAACACAGAACTAGCCCCAATCTTTGGCTAGTAAATCCAACTAAAGAAAGGTAGAAACAGGACTACAGCCCACAAGGCCGGATAAGCATCAGGCCTTCTCCCAAGGCCAACACTGAAGTGTAGTAAGGAAACAATTTCCATGATTGCTCATGAAGCAGCCAAGACTGTTTCTAAGCCCTGCTGTTCCCTTGATGAGCATTTGCTGCTAGTCATTCTGAGATTGGAGCTGGGCAGTTTGCATGGGGCTGGAAACTGATTCACCATTTCCTGATAGAGGCCAGGGAAAAGCAGGCAAGAATCTGTCTGGATTACATCCTTGTTGTCCCTAAGCTTGAATAGCATTAATTAATGAGACCCTAAATTTTATAATGACCTGACTGTGATCTTAAAAAGCATTCCTGAGGTGCTAGACATGAGTCTAGACCTAAAGGACACCCTGACTCCCTGTACACAGAAGGTCCTACTTGGTGAGTCTGAATTTCAAGCTGGTTTGTAACGTGGTTTCCAATCTGTGGGGGTATTGTAGTTTATTTGTTTATATTTCTCTAAGGAGATAAATAAATTAAAATCAATCAATTACATTCCTGGGCTAAAGAGTGGCTCCACTTACTAAGAAATACATTCTAGTAGTTTCCAGCCACACTCCCATTTCTCCTGCATTGAAATCTAATGTTATAAGGTAAGATATTTTCTATTAAGTTTGATAGGTTTAAGTAAAACTACATAACATGCTTCCATCAAAGGGAATGAAAATCATTCTTCAAAGCAGAATCAGTTGGCAGTTGTGACAGATGATATTTTTCAAATTTAGATGTAGTTCAACAATGGCACTTTGATGTCTTTGAAATAATAGACATAAGGAGCAATTGTCTACTTTAAACTGTGTTCCACTTTCAGTTCGGTTCTTCATAATAGGAACACTCCATGGGGTCCCTGATTCTTGCAGTTTTTATTTTGCAGACTACAGCATAAATAAAAATCTGCTTTTCATAAAAAATTTCTGATTTTATAATGGAAAATTTTTTCTTATTTTTATATGGGAAAAGAAGCCTAGTCTTCCTTCAGGCAATTAACATATGCTGTGCATAATTTATCTTAGTTGGCAAATAACTCTATTACAAGCAAAATTAGATTGCATTCAGGTTTTATTTATTAAAAAATTTCCTGAATACTAAAGAATCAAGCTAATTTCTGGGGAATACCCAAGCTGAGAACATTATAAAGTTGAAAGGAAAAATGAGAGAGGAGAGTAATAGGTTGAAATTAAGATCTGTGCTCCAGATCTCAAAGCAGAGTTCTTTACAGAGGCACGAATACTCCAAAACCCACCTAATGAAGGCTCATAGCAGTTTGTAGCTCTTCTGCAGTGCTAACTTTGAAATCGTCAGTCTCTGAGTATTCTAGGTTCATGACAGTTTCTAAGCATTCTTAGAAAAATTAGAAAATAGTAACAGTGCAGTGAATTTTTCATTAGCATATTTCACTTGAAGGATTGTCCTTTAAAATAGGAGATTGTCCTTTTCTTAAGACCTTGTCTTTATAAAATAATTATTATAGTCGGTAATAGGATGTATGTTTTTGTTGTTTTTAAACATCCTTGCTAAGCAGTATGAAAAGTTGTCAATCTTATGTTGTTAGTTCCCATTTTTTGTCCTTGACCATACTAAATACCAAAAACCTGGAATGGGAAACACTACTGGAGAAAATATCAGTGAGAACTTCTGTGAATTTCCTTCTCTCCAGCCCCAGGGCTTAAAGAGAGGCAGGCACAAACCATTCCCTCATATTTCTTTTTAAAGTGTAGGTGAAATAGCAAGAATTCTGTAAGTAAAAGAGAGTTCTCAAGCATCTAAAACATTTCCTTAGAGGATTAATGTTATGTTCTAGTTTCAATCAATCACCAAGGAACTAGATTAAAAATATCATTGATTGCTTAAATATATAGTACAACATAATCCTCAAAGTAGTATTAAAATACCTGTCATGATTTAATCACTCCTCAATCTGAATCCATCATACAGTATTGATTTATCCTATTTGCCAAAACTGAATTCATTGTCATTTAGTTATTCTATAAAATACATCTAATTTCCTCTCCTTTTGTATAACCTTCAGTGAAAAGATTGAGCATCAAATGCTCGCTTCGCTAAGGATCGCTGTTTGTAATTGGCAAAGTCATCTAGTATTCCAGGAAGTAATAAGAAACCAGTAAGGTTGAAAAGTGGCCTATGTGATTTGACAGCCTTGTGAAAACATGGGGGTATCTGTGAGTTCTGTTCTAAATGACTCATGGTACATTTAGTGTTCTGCTGATTTCTTTCCCTTTTCCCTTTTCCAGTGAAATCAGATGAGCTGCAGACAATCAAGAAAGAGTTAACCCAGATCAAAACTAAAATTGACTCCTTGCTAGGGCGCCTGGAGAAGATTGAGAAGCAGCAGAAGGCCGAGGCAGGTAAGTAAAAAGATCTGTGGCCACAGACGTGTCAGATTAAACCAGTGAAACACTGTCAATAATAGAGACAGTGGAGGGTCGGGGGTGGGTGGTGGCTAAGTTTAATAGTTTACTACAGATACACGAATAAAGTCTTTAGGCCAAGAGTTGCAAGAGTTTCACTTTTTAGAGAACATGAATCAGTGTGTCTAAAATTCATATTTTTTAAAAAAAGGAAAAGTGTTTTGATGGTAATAATAAGTAATAGTGGGATCATAATTAAAAGTTTATATCTCAATATCAAGAAACCTTTAAGAAGAAAATCAATTAATGGAATAACACTATCAGGCAAAAAAAATATTCTTATTTCATTAAATTAGCTGCAGCAAAATTTAACAGATTTCAAAAACCATGATTCCAAAGCTCAGCTCCTCCAAAACCTCAGTACTGAGTTTCAGCATCCTCAGCACCAACAGGGTTGTCCCTGGCCACCCACAGCCAAGTCATTTGATTATAACGTCCATCTGAATTATCAGCCCTGACCCTCGTTAGATTCTGACACAATCTAATGCTCTTTTCATGTGGTACAGATATTTTTTAAATCATAGAATATGAGAATTGGAATAAACTTAGAGAGGACCTAGTGCATAATTTGAAAATTGTGTTCTGCAAGGCCTTAGAGGCATCTTGGAGATGAGATGACGCTTAGAAGGAGACCGAGGAGGTAGATGAATTCTTTCCTCCTGCAAATCCAGCCCTTGCTCTACTTGTATCTATTTTATAAACTGGGATTCAACATAAATCTTCATTTACTGAAAGAGCTTCAATTTTTAAAAAATACAACTTTGAAAGCCATTGATTGAATTTAGCCTTCCCATTTTGCAAATGAGCAAACCAAGATTCAAGGAGGTTAACTGATCTTTCCATAGCCACTTAACTAGCTGGTGACAGGCCCTAATCTCAAAAGTCTTGGTGAATCCAGTGCCCTTGCCAACCTATATTCTCAATCTCAGATTCCTGCTTGCACTGGCCCTAGGATTTCACTGAAGTGAGGCTCTGGGAAACTCCTAAATGGTGAGAACCAGTTGAGATCTAAAGCCCCTGAGCTACAACGACGAAAAACCTGCCTGTTTGTTGACTGTTATCACTGGGGTAAGGATGCAGCTTCCTTCTGGTGATGAGCAATAAAAGGCTCAAGAGTAAAAAGAAGCCAGAGATAAGTTGGTGATATAGCATAATAGGTGGAAAAAATAAAACTCTGATTGACATCCTCACATGCTACTGACTGACCCTCAGTTTTCTCATTTATAAAATGAAGATAATACTACCTCAATTGTGAGAAATGAATAAAGTCACATATATAAGTTATATAGCCAGTAACTAGCACAGAGTGAAGGTGTAATTGGAGCTGTTTGGCATTGGTAGTAATAAAAACATATATAGGCAAATGAGCATTTCCTACTATTTTCATACAGCACATTTTTAAAAAACACAAGCCACCTACCTAGTACATGGTAGGTTCCTGCTAATGTTTGTTATATTACTGTGGATGAGAAATGATAGATAAAATAGAATCATTTTAATTAAAATTTTCTATTAGTAACTGATTTTTTACTTAGAAAAGATACAGGAAGAAGATCTGAATTGACATTTTTCTAAAAATCTACAGATGGCCAACAGGTATATGGAAAGATGTGCTATGTCACTAATCATCAGGGGAATACAAATCAAAACAACGTGAGATAACAACTCACACCTGTTATAATGGCTACTATCAAAAGACTAGAAATAACAAGTGTTGGTGAGATGTGGAGAAAAAGGAACACTTTGGAAATGTAAATTAGTACAGCCACTATGGGAAACAGTATGGAGATCCCTTAATAACTTAAAAATTGAACCACCATTTGATGCAGCAATTCCTCTCCCAGGTATTCTTCGGAAGAAAACAAAAATACTGCCTTACTCCTTAATAGAGGAAATTAGATCTTAGAAAGTTTGTTCTATGCTGTCTATGGCACTAATCTAAAGTGTTACTGTAACTGAAATATCTTGTGATGTTGCCTAAATAGTTATTTCCCTTTAAAGAACTTCTGTGAAATTCATTATTATGTAGAACAACCCTTACAGCAAAGGACTTTGATAACCAATTTGCACTGCAGTTTAAAGGATTATAGAGAACTCATTTAAATATAAATCACCTCAAAGAGAAAAATGTGATCTTTATTCCATCATTTTATATCTTCCAGTTTCCTGCAATGAATAATACCTTCCATATATATCTTCTTGGAAGATCATCTATAAACGTAACACTAAAATTCAAAGCTTGCATTTTCTTTTCATGAAAGGCTATCACCTTATTTTTGTACGTGTTTAAACTTCTCATAAGAGAGTTTTTTAACATGATAGACTTAGTCCTTTGATATTTTTGTCTCTCCTACTTTAACATGTTAGGAAGAAAATGGAATTAATTTGAATTTCATTCTCTTAGTAATTGTCTCCTGAACAGTATTCATATTTATGGAAATAAGATAATCATTTTCTATATTTCCTTACAAAAAGGAACAGGGATATATGGACAGAGTCTACACTAGATTATGGAAAGTGGAGAGAAATATGATAAAACTCTTTTTTAAATACTCAATATTTCCTTTATGTAAGGGGTCCCCCACTTTAATGCTTATTGCTTATTTGGTTGCAAGCTAATTATTTGGTAACTAATATCTACTCTTCATTATTACTCCCCTATACATCTCTCATTCCCAGCTTACTCTTGGCCATTTGATAATGAAAGTTTCTGCATAAAAGTAGTGGCAGGAAGGAGATGAAAGATCACAAACAAAAAGTGGGGAAAGCCACACGACATAGAGCTTGTTCGGAGTTCAAATTTCACAGTATCACAATTTGTTTGTTTGAAGTGAATTCCAAAACTGTCAGGAGTTACTGTAATGAAGCATAATTACATCATTTTGGATTCTCTATGGCTTAAATTGCTTCCAATATATATTTATGAGGTGTCCTGTCTCTTCCTTTAAGATTGTAAACTTCCTAAATGCCAAGTCACGTCTTTTCCTTTTCTAACTTTTACCACCACCATGTACTCTGTCCTAGGCACAATTCAGCAACTCATAACTTCTCTAGGTCTCAATCCCCTCAAATGGATTATGGCCTCCAACATACATCCCAACTTTTAAGTTAATGATTAGTATGAATCCACCATGCATATGTTACTTTTTCTATTGACTAATTCAAATAACACAATAGAGTGAATGTGTAGATTATTGAAAACAAGTAACACCTAACATCAGTTTAATTTGCAACTATGCCTCATTCCTAAATGATTCTTTTAAAAGAGCCACATATAAATTGCCACAAATGAATAGTGAAATTTATATATGGTTTACACAGTGATGTTAAATAACCGAAAAAGGTAAAAGGAGCAAGAAGGAAAACCATAGGCTGGGTATTGTACAGCAGGCACAATTACTCCATGGGCAACTACATCTCATAAAAATCCAAATTTCAGGCATAGAATATCTGATATAAAAAGGCAATTAGACATTATTTAATCCAACTTTAATTTCAGTGTTGTACCTGATATATGACCAGTCTCACTTGGACAATTCCTATGATAATAGCCAGTGTTAGACCTAAGCGTTAGAGAGCTCATAGAGTCTCATAGGATAAATTCATCCTGCCCATATGTTTGCTAAAAGATATAGAATTTTTAAAAATAAATGTCCAATAATTGAAATGTTACAAATAAGTATCAAATAGATTTGAAAAATTATAATCTTCAATACTGCTGCTCACTTTATACATGTTATGCACTTTCAGTTTGTTCATATCTTTATCCAGCCAGTTCATGTATTTGTGTTATTTACTTGGACCCTGTTCACACTGGCATCTTAGACTCCTATGGCACATTCTCCTTATACTGAGTCAAAGTGTATTTTGCTCTAACTTGGTTCAGTTATCCTTTTTAGTTCCCTGAAACCAAACTCAATATCTAAATCCTTATAACAGAAAATTAAATTCTTTAAAAAGACCTATAATATTCTTATCTTTCAAAAACCTTTGAACAGAGAGTCAATATAATCGGCCCGTAAATGAGCAACTTAACTACATCCGAATTTTGGTCATAGCATCTTTAAAGCCAACTTTTCTCTAGATAAATATCAATAATTTATTCATCTGCTTCTCAGTTAATTTGGTTTTGCACCTTGAACCACTGTCATCTCTGTCATTCTACTATAGTTTGTAAACCACAGGCTTTTTTGGTAGAAAGATGTTGTTCTAAATATGTTCTTACCACCACTATCTGTCATGTGACTACTATTTCTGTTCTGAATACCTTACTGTTATCATTTACACTTTGGATTAAATTGGTGATCCTTCTGGTTACAAATGTTGGATTAAACATGTGAATTGAGCTCTTCTGCCTCTTGAAACTGCATTAAAGTAATGGTGAGATTTTAAAAATGAAAACCCAGGCATAATGAGAATGGGAACAAAATTTTAAGCTGGACAGCAGATATAGAGGTGTACTCAGACCTAAAAATATGAGTCCAGTTTTAACCATAGAACTCCCAAAGGCTCAGAATTGAATGCACCATATACCTCTGGGAAAGATGGTATAAATGACAGAAAGACTGTTAAACAACAGATTCCTGTACCACCATTCCCAACTAACCCTGACACTGGAAAGCTGGAGAAGTTTTCTCTAGAAAAGCTAAAACTGCACATCTAACGGATGGTAGACAATAAGCAAATTTGAAAGCAGTTGAAAACAGAGAAAGAAGTAAAAGGTTATACAATTGATGTAGAAATTCTAAGAATTCTCACCCGAAACCCCAACATCAGCTAGCAAACTACTAACAGAACACTAGATGAGGTTTTTATTGGGAATATGGGCAGCCCAAAGGGAAAGATTTAAAGATGCATGGCTGTCACCCAAGGCAATGGTGAACCAGATCACCCTGAAGAAACAATATACCCTATGCTCACAATGCTGCCCATCAAGT